ATCAGTATGACATTTTAATTCAAATTTAGAATTAAAAAACATCTGTGTTTGGTCTGTGCTTGTGTAAACGTATATGTTGAGCTACATGAGCCAAATCTGAAGATCGTTGTGATGTGAGATGTTAGAAAACCATCTTGAGCTTCTTTGGGAAAAGAACATCTGATCGTTTGTACAAAGAATCGCATGATAAATGACATTTTATTAGTCTAGTTGTTCTCAGGATGACTATCTTATTTAAAATCCCCATTTAGTCAATCATTTTATCCCTTTAAAACTCATCTTTGATCACCAAAATGACATTTAAATGTTTTTTCCTTGAAAAAAAATCTTCATGCCTTAAAATATCTTGAATGTAACTCGACACCCTTAACTCATTTAGTATGCGCGGTTCTATGAATATGCAAATGAGCCCCGCCTCCACTCACTCGCTCAGCTCAGAGATCCACTGGTTGACGATCACACGTTGATCTGATTGGTTACAAGGTCGTTTGTGACGTCAGAAACACCAGCGATTTCAAACCGTGTTTTTGAGACTGTCTTTGGTTCACTGCCGTTTTAAAGAGAAAATACTCAGCAATGCTGTCGACTTATGAACTTACACATGGTGTGTCTTAAAGCGTATTAAAAACACCACATAGACACATAAACAACATTAAAAACTGGATTTACACCACAGGGGGACTTTAAGACACTTGCTTTATATCATCATTTCATTAGTGGAGGCTGAACAAAGTGTTTTAGACAAGGGAAATATCTGAAACATGTAATGAGGCCTTTAGGACTTTAATCGTGTCATTTGAAACGCTCAAAATTCATCGTGTGAAAACCATTTTGAAATTGGACAATGCGTTACAAAGGAAACGGCTACATGTTTGTGGGATCAACTTCAAATTTGGAACACAACTTGACAAATTGGTTTGTAAAATTGATATTTTACAATAAATATATAAACTTAAAACGTTATTAAATAATAATTGGCATAATTGAAGGAAACCACAAAGAATCTTACATATAGAATCTACAAAACTTTTTGTTTTAAACTGTTCAGAAGTCCCAGATTGTCTGTGATTTTACAGCCCACTGTATACACACATTTAACTTACAATCTTAATCAAGTCAAATGTATTTATAAATAGAGAGAGTAGTCGATATTTGAAGTGGATCAAAAAAGTTATACATGAATTTTGAACAATACCTGCTGTTCTTGTCTTAGGACAACTTTGATGACATTTTTTGATCCACTTCAAATGTTGATATACAAATACATATATCATAATATCCTAATACCTTCACTCCTTCGAGTTGCATTTATTAGATTAGAGCTGGGTGATAATATAGTTAGATTTTACATTTTTATGTTCATGTAATTTGTGAGCTGCAAGTGTGTTGTTGAGTTGTTTCGGGACAGACAGTGCATAAAATAATAACAAGTACAGTAGTTAGTTTAGTACATTTGCTTTACAGTAAACTAAAAATTTTAAAAAGTGTAGTGATGTCGTCCAGGACTGTAATTGTATCATTTGAAAGGTTAAACACTCAAAATTCATCGTTTCGAAATTGGACTATTCGTTTCCTTTGAAACTGTACTTTAGGCTAAATTTTTGTGATATCAACTTCAAATTTGGAACATAACTTGGTTAGACATGTGGTTATTTTATCAAATTAGTTTGTAAAATATATATATTGTATAAATCAAAAAAGTGCATTTTCAGTAAACTTGAGAGAAAATGTGCAGAGATGTTATGTAGGAACATAGTTAAAGGAATAGAATCTTACAAATAGAATATAGAATCTACACAACTTTTGTTTTGTTTGAAACTTTTCAGAATCCTAGAACTTTCCAGGTTTAAGTCTGTGATTTTAGCTCTGAATGCATGTACACATTTAATTCTAATAATATCCTAATACCTTCATTCCTTCGAGTCGCATTTATCAGATTAGAGCTGGGCGATAGAATAGTTAAATTTGACATTGTAACGTTCATGTAGTGTGTGAGCTGCACGTGTATGGTTGAGTTGTTGAGTATTTGGTGGCGGGACAGACGCTCGGACCGTGATCAAAGTCTGAGACTGTTTCTCTTTTAAAAGCGAGAAGGATATGCTTTAGACTGAGATGTTTGCTGAGCTTTGATGTGTGTGAGACTGTTTGCACTCTTAACCCAGCGACGGCCACCACCCAGATCTGTCCATTCACGTGGACAATGACCCGCAATGAAGAGGAACCCGTGTTGACCGTTCCGATCCAACGACACGAATCTCACTCGAGGATAAAGAGAGCAGAAGTGAGGGAGCGAGGGCTTCTGGAGAGGGGGATTATCCCTCATTTAGGGCCTGAGAAGAGCCAGTCATGGTGGGAATGTGCTGGGATTATTCTGGAGTGAGTGGGAACAGGGCAACGGATGAACTTTAGTACGAAACAAACGCTCATTTTCATATCATTGCGGCATATTGTAATGATGCAAAGAGCTTTTACCACTCGATTAGGATCAATGTTCTCTTCT